TTTTTTTTTTTTTTCCATAGGTCAGTTCTAAAAGTGGAAAATCAGTCAGTACACTAACATATTGTAACCATGTAAATATTCCCAGGAGAACCAAGAAATGTGCTGAGTGTACATTTTCTTCTCTGTCTTCACAAATATTTGAAGTCCTTCCTTATTCATTCATTTCATTTCTTTATGTGCTCCAGAAATATTTTGGAAAGCTTATTACGTGTTGGGACTTGGGGAGGGGAGGCGGAGAAGAATACAATGAGAAATCACGTGCCCCTGCCCTTAGGCATTTATAGGACAGGATTTATAGTATACCTGAGGTCAAGGAAGGATCTGAGAAGAGGGAACAGCAACTGGGCCTTAAAGAATGATGAGCATTTGGAAAGGGGAAGAGGGCACAGGAGGAAGTGATACTAAATGAGCAAGTGATCAAGATGAGATTTTTTTTTATTAAGAGATGAGGTTTCTAAGTTGTCTGCTTTGAATCAGGGGTTTGCAGTGGAGAGGAGCAGCAGCTGTGAGTACATCCTGATCAGATGCGACCTGAGGGACTGGTAAGAATTTCCACATAGAAATCAGTGAACGATGACAAAGGTGGGCAGGAATTCACGGACGTCCAGGGTTGGAAATCACGTAAAACGTCAGCCAAGTCATGACAGTGGATGAATCTGAAAAGAAAAAAAGGGACAAATCAAGAAGAGGAAGGAACATTTAGGGAGACAAAGAAAAGAAAACAAGCTGAAGAAGCTTTAGGGGATGTATTATCTAAAGCTCCCGCCCTGGGACACCTTAATTATAAACGTTCTTCTTTTTTGTACATGAAAACAAAGGAAATGCTTTAGGAATTTCAACTCAAAAACATAAAGATCACCATAGACCTATAGGATATTATAGTCAGTGGTGAGACTCAGTAGCCAAAGGGCTCCCTCCCTGAATGACCGTGCTACAGGCATGTTATGCAAACCAATAGAAGAAATCATTATGGGCTCTAGCCTTCCAGCTCGGTCGAGGACATTCTCCATGTTACCATGCAACTAGAGTGACACTGAGGCACAGATTGTCCCCATTCTGGAAAGCTATGAGCAAGGAACCCTCTACCCATAGAGGAGAATGTCCCTCTTGGTTCAGACAATTTGGTTATCTCAGAAGAGTCTGGAAGCTGGAGGCAGCACTCGAGCCAACAGAACGGTTCCCCTCAACTCAACATGAACTTGTGTGGCTCAGACACCCAATTCAGCAAACATCCGATACCTAAGAAGCCAGGCTCTGTGCTAGTCACGGAGGGTACAGAGACAAAAAAGATGTGTCTGATGCCCATGGTGTTTGGTGGGGGTTAGGATGCGGGAAGGCTGCTGTTCTAACATGAGTTTCACCTTTTTTATTTCAAAGTGCAGCAGCCAATAATATGTTTTGAAGGAACAACCTTTAGAGCCAGGCTTCTTGGGCTTCTTTTCTGGCAGATAATTGTTTGACTTATATGTGAACCAAGGGCTCTGGGAAGTCCGAAAATGATAAGACTACCTTGCTTCATTGCACATTGTTCTTTGTTTTCTCACTTTTTTTCCCCTTGCTGGGCTTCTATTCTGGGCATAAAATATTAGCTATATTGACTATTGACATACCATGATTAATCTATTTTCTGGGCTCTATTCAGGCAACATGTACATATACCATGTGAAATGCTGGCATGGGGGAGCTTTGCTATGCAACATAAATCTAGTTAACTTTCTTATTCAAGACACGTACTGTCACCCAAGCTTAAGGTTCAGAGATATCTCAGCAACTCCCAATATNCATTTTTATTGCCTATTATGGTAAAAATTGAGTTAAAATAGTCTTATATATTGATTTATAAAAAGCATATATATATATATAGTATATATTGTTACCATATATACTGTCATACTAACATACATATAAAAATATTTAGAAGGTGAACACTAATGTTATTAGTAATTATATCTTGGTAAAGAAATTATGAGTAATTTATTTTAATTTTTACCTATCTCTAGTTTGTAAAATAAGCATGATACTTTGATAATAAGGAAAAGAGCTTAAGAAAATAAAGAAAAGCTCATTGCCCTCAGAATACTATTCTGTGCTGTGAAATTAGATTTCAGTCTCACCTTGACCCCTGATGAGGTTGTCCCACTCACAGACTTGAAATCACAAACTATGTAGGCTACAAGGTATGTACTCATTTTCACAGTAGTTTCAAAATGATCTTCCAAGAGGCCTCCTTCAAGTTCAATTGTCTTAATCTACAGGAAGGAAAAAGAATCAGTATTTGAAAACAGAAGCTTTTATAGCAATGCCTATGACTTAAGCCAGGTTATTTGGAGGACAGCCTGACATGCTCACAAGAGGACATCAGTTCCCTCTATAAGGTTCTGTGGCCTCTCCTATCTTCTTTATTCCTTTTATCCCTGGACTTCCTCAAAGACACAATGCACTGCTTTTGGGATCCCCAAATGATGCCAAATCTTATTTTGTTGTTTGAAAGCATAAAAGCATCTTAGACACTTCCACTTTCTTGAAATGCAATAATCTCCAAATTGGCATACATTCAAGTTTGGTACATCTAAGGAAAAATACCAGCGAATGGCCCCTTTCCCTTTGTTGTATAAGAAATACATCTCTGATGCAGAAGGGAAAAGGAAGCAGAACTGTGCTAGATGCTGCTTTGCAGTATCTCTGAATCCTCTCATTATTTGTGTGTGAGGTAGGTGTTATTTCACGGGGGCGGGGAACAGAGTCTAAGAAATGTGAACTGAATTAAGGTAACACAAGTGAGCTCTACAGTGAGACCGAGATGTGGATGCCACCGTGTGATTCCAAAGACATTGTTCATTCTTCACTCGCTATGTGACAGCTTGAGTCATAGTCTTATTTTTATCTTGGCTTCATTGATTCTGCAATGAAAGCAGTCAGGCCAAGGAGGTCATTAGTAATTTAAGTTTCTGCCTATGTACTGAGGAAGCAAAAGTTTGAAGCCCATAGGCTTGTCAGCTGCCTCTATCAAATTCACTGAATAATTACTGAGTTCTATCTTCATTTGCTCTGGATAGCCTGTCCCAGAGATGATCTCCACCAGGGTACAACACCCCTAAATACGGAATGGATCAGATTCAGTAATCTGAAAATACCGCTTTCTTCAAATTGATAATAACTTTTAGGCTAGATTGCTCTCTGCACNTCCTTCCTTTTTTCCCCCAAGCCTTTTAGTCCTCGCCTTTGCACGTGGCCCCGCTCCGTATGCTCCCAACTCCTTGAAATCATTTCTCTTCTAATAATGGGCCCTTGAGCCATTCTCTCCTGCTCAGGCCTACTTCTACTTTTTTGAAATGTACTCTCTCTTCTAATAAACTACTTTTACTCCAATATCTCGTTCAATTCTTTGCTGGAGTTGCCAAGGACCTGGACTTGGCACCAAGAAGGGCCCACTCTCCGACAGTGTAAGTCTTTAGTGTCCAGATAAAGAGACTAAGGGGGACTGACTTTCCCAAAAAACACACAGCAAGTCTGAAGCAGAATCGGTACTAAAGCACAGCTTTCTGACCCTTGGTCTAATGGACTTTTCTGTTATGCTGCACTGTGCCTTGAGTAACATTGCAGTGAACCAATCGTTTTGGGATTGAAGACACAAGAATTGCAACAAACGTTTGGGAAAGGTTAACAGATCTCCCAAAGAAAATGAATCAGTTAAACAGCAAGATTCTCAAATCAAGTCCGGTCTTGAGCTGCACACACTTTCCAATATAGTAGTGCCAGGTTCACCCCCTTTCCCCAGAGCCTCACCTTCGATTATAACACAGCAGTTTTATACCTTCAGGTCATTACTCTCACTGAAAAATTCTGATTTAAAGACAAATTCAAGAGAAATATTAATGTGTTACCTTAATCCACGTTGTTGCAGATCTGAATGAAGGAGAAGGGTTTTTTGCTTTCACTTTCTGTTACTAAGTCTGGAACTTTGCATACTTCCTGATTATAGCACTAGCTGGCACATTAGGTGTAAATGGAGCTTAGCACAACAGGCTTAGTTCAGAAAGCACAAGTTTCTTTCTTCTTAGCATTTATCAATTTCTGAGCTTCACTATGTGTTTGTTTTATCTATCTCCCCATTAGAATGCAAATTCTTTGTTGGCAGGGAATTGGC